CATCACTTCGTGTATAAAATTAATGAATCCATTTCTTTTTAAATAATTCACATTTAATTCAGAAGAACAATATTACTACTTCAAGATGGGAAGTAAGGTTAAAAGGATAACAAGTTTTCATATGAGATTGGGAATACCACAATAAATACATTGTAAATAGCACATAAAATATAATAAATTCCATTTTATTTCCAAAACGGCGGTTTGATATTGCAATTATTTTAAAATCTGTGCATGCCATCGGACCACTTGGGCTTACTTATATGGCTACCTCGGTAATAATCTCTTAAGTGATTACTATAAAAAGGCTAACTTAGAATGTCAAAATGATTCATTTACCATTGAAAGTATGGGGAATTATTATTTACCCCAGCAAAATCCGTTTTATGGTACTTTTCCAATCAAACTGAAGAGTTGTCATACAAATCTTCAATACTTCAAATTGCACACGTCCACCTGCGTATATAATTAGGGCAGAAAATAAAACGAGTCACGATCACATACAGGCGACTCCATTAACATGCAAGTCTGGTGATTATTTTGCTATCTGTACAGCTTGGGCTAGAACTGACACATATATCAAAATGTTTCGTGGATATTTGGCACCAATTATAGAGATACTGTAAGTTTCCAAAGTGGCAACCAAGCTTGCTGTGGGGCCCTGCAACGCTTAATCAATAAATAATCATTTCACATGAAGCACAATTTTTACCAGTAGGGTCCAAACATTTTGCCTGGTATACTTGGTGTTTTTGGATTTACCCGGTTTTCAAAACGTCAACATTTTCAGTTACTGTAGGGTCTCTCTGTGGGTCTCTCTTTTCATCTTCATAAGACGAAACATTCCACTTAATAATACTCACAGTGTCTGCAATATCATTAAAATCAATACCAGATTGTTTGAGTGTGTCAATCTTTAAGTGTGAGAGAGACACGTAAGCAACGATGCCGGCAAGCAATGCATGAGTGGCAAGGCAAGTTTTCACATTGATAGCTGGTGCAAACAAATATCGATCCAGGACTGAAACGGAATGTCTAAAGGCAACACAATCAGTGAAAACCGAAGACATTCTTTCTTGCAGAGAGTTTCACTAGTAATGCGCGCTACCAGATGTATAATTAACTGTATGTCAGTGTATTTGTACCTTCATTATAAATAAGCGTATGTCATAATTACCTCCGCCAAGGAGGGTAATATATGTTTTTGTTCCGTTTGTCTGTCCGTTTGTCTGTAAGCAACATAAAAATGATGATTATTTTGAAGAATTTTTTAAAATATACTGTCTGTTGTGAAACAAACCGCAAACTATATGATTTGGGGGGCGACCCAATAATTAATTTATTAGTAAATTAATAAAGTCTGTTTATCATTACGCAAAATGTTACAGAGAGATATTGAGCAAATTTTCAGGATAACTCCGAAATGGACTAAATTTCGGTGGTATTTATTTATCTGTTTAGTATTAATTCATTAGTTAAATTATTTATTTACTAAAAAATAGAGCTAATTAGTTAGTTAATTAATAATCGAATTGAGCTGTCGGATGTCTGCGCTCTCTGAGTGCGTAACTATTTGTGAAGTATGATTGTTACGTAATTGCCTTTTCAAAAAAAAAAAAAAAAAAAGGCAAAACCAAGAAATATTTTTATTGTTATTATAAAATCAATATCGATCTTTATCTTCCTAATAGATATTATTAAAGATAATAGAGAGGGATTACAAGAAATTTTTGCGGGCAGGAGTCATGCACCCATTACTTCAAATGAACTAATGTAAACCCGCCTTGAAATCAAAACACTACATTGTTGTTACATGTAAATATGAAAACATTTCGCAGCTGCGCCCTCGCTTCACTAAGCTGTTAACGCCTTGAAATAAGCGAGAAATATCATACATGCTGTTACCAAAGGACTCCGCGTTAGTCTACATGTACATTCTTTATTTCTCTTGACTTCAAATAAACTCTGAATGACTTCCCCTTTAAAGAGAGATTATGGGATTACCTTTGAGTCCAAATGAATCCGTATCATTTCATGCTGACAATCACAGAATAACATGCTGTTTGTGGTTATTTAGGATTTCTTTTATCAACAGATTTGTAAATGCAGTGAATGGAATGTAACGTAAGGTACCTAGCTGTTGTTTAAACGCCGCACAGCACTTAACTGCGTTTTAGTTTCTACGACTATAATATTAAAGTTTTGTATCCACCCCTTATATACACTGTACATCTGTAGGTACAACGGTGAAATATGTCGACTAAATATGGTCAGAATTTTTTTTTATAGAGCAGACGCATCTGTATCCGTTGGATGACTATAATCTACAGCCTACAACCTTTATGCAACCAATTTTTAATCTCGGATAGGTTCTCTTCCTATGAAGTTTTTTCATATTCGATGAATTGTATAGAGTTAGGGGCGTGAATGCAGCTGAATGCATTGAAACAATTTTATTCTCACGCCCCCTTGGGAAGATTCCGTGAAATTATTTCTTGGATAAAATTCTAGTGGTGGGCAGATTTCATATTTCTATTAAGCAAATCAAATCACGCAAAAGAACCCATTAGCGAGATATACGTGCCATAGTAGGTATCGCGCTATATAATGAGACTTCGTAACAAACAGGTCTGGCAGCCGTTGTACAGTTATGAGCGCAACGCTCCGATTTTAATAAGTCCCCAGTAACTCGCCGCTGATCCACCAATGCCTCTGCAGTTCCAATACTAAAAACGTACGTCAGGTAAAACACTGATTTTTCCAATGACATCTAAACTCAGGGTAGAAATCAAACATACTTGTACGTGAATTGTTGCACTCGATAGCACGTGAAAGCATATTGCGCGGAATTCATTGCATTCACTGCAACTGTATTGGCAACCCTTTCAACAAATCCCCTTTACATTTATTTTGAACCAGTAAAAGCATTCTTACAGGGGTATATGTGATGATAGGCATCATGCTACTTCATTTTTCTATTTATTATATATATAGTGCGATGCACAAATGTAGGGATAATTCGCTTTTTTTTCATGATTATTTTCAATTTTGTTCAACAAGCAAAGATGACATAATTTACATATTTCTGATGTTGATTTCAGTTTCTACTCTTCATGGCAAATTATGTTATATTATCACCAATTTAGACAAACAGAACTGATCTCAGTCTAATCTCTATTTTTTCTATTAGTAGTGCTCGCTGCCAGTGTGTTTCGAATCGTTTAGTAAAAAACTTGTAATATAATGAGTCAAGAATTATAAGATAAAAATCACCAATCACCAAAAAGCACACAATCTTTTATCAGTTTGTACTGAAGACTTACCCGTAGCTACGATAGATAAGACAACAAATCCAGCAAACCAGCAAAACATGCTATATTCTGTCTGTAGCTGATAAATCAGATAACTAAGCCTGCCACTCCCTGAAACTGAAATCACACGACGCAGTGACATATGTTATATAGCAAATCCCCATCACTTCAGTCACACAATATCGATCCACAATGAAAGTGTTAGAATTCCTTAAAGGTAAACAAGGTACGGCAGAAGGCTTCACATATCTGATACTGATATTTTAATTGCACCTCTGTATGAATCTGAAAACATAAATAATCTTTTAGCAATAGCTTCCCTCATCTTAATTAAGAAATTCATGCATATTCGCGGGCATGATGCGCGTACGTTGCATTGCGAATTTATGCCAATTCTCTATTTCTTTTTTCTATCTAAGATGGATTTCGTGATGTTATCTTATCGATGAAAAAAATAGGCCTACAGGGGATATACGATTTGTGAATTAAGATATTGTCAAACTGGTTGACATGATGGCAGGCATACAGGCCTGAGTACTGTACGGGTGTCCTTAGGCTGTTTCTAAATGTTCGTAAATGGCTTTTTTTATTTTTATTTTTATAGGCCTACAGCTAACGAACTTCTTGTGTTATACAACGCATAGTTCACATAGCCTAATGGTTATCAATTACAAAATTCTGGTAACAATATACTGATTATAGCCTTTTTATAATAATAATAATAATAATAATAACAATAATAATAATAATAATAATATAACTCATTCGATCTTAATTATCTTCAGAGTAGGCCTACAACTTTTATTTTCTATACGGCCCTAATGTTCACACCACGTTTCTCGTTGGGAATAGCACTAATTTGAGAAATGAGAAGGTGAGACAAAGTTTATTTAAAAAACATTGGATGGGCTTGTCAGACGGAGGCAAGAGAAATGTGGGGCAAAGGATTCTGGCAATGAAACCGCCAGGGAAGAGAAAGCGCGGGAGGCCGAGGAAAAGGTTCATGGATGTTAGGCCTATCAAAGAGGTGGGAGTAGAGAGGGACCAAACGCAGGAAAGGTGAAAGTGGAGGCGTTGACCCATGAGAAAGGACAAAGCCGATAGTAGGCTAAAAGAGGCTAAAATACCCGTAGTTGAAATTAATTCATATTTTTATAGCACGAATTATAGGCCTATAGGCCTATATAGACCTACCTAGTAGGCATATGTCTATGAAAAAGACAAAAATAATTTGAAAAAAAAAAAAAAAAATTAAATTACTAAATTTTGAGGTATGAGGCACAGATTTTTTTTCCATCAAAGGAAATCATCTCAGGCCACCATAAGTAATAAAAATGTAGATTTTCATTCCCATTAGGCCTACTGTAATCAACTAAGATAGGCCTACATATGTAGGCATAGTCTAGCACCAGCTACTGGTAGGCCTACATGTAGGCTACGTGTTCTACGTGCATTCTTTGTGAAATTTGTTTAAAATTCCGCCAACAAAGCATGGGATCACAAGAAATTTTTCAACGAAATTGAACCATATAGTAAATGTCAATTAACAATCACTTTTCAAACATCCAAAATGAAACAACAAAATAGGCCACATTCAGGAATGGCTCTTGGCTGCTCACTGTGCGCTGAGTGTGCGCTGCTCTTGGCACAGGATTTCCCCTTTTGACAAGGCATTATGGGAAACAAAGATGGCCGACTGGAGGAAGTGTATGCTTTTGTTACCCTTAGTTGTTTTAATAAATACAGGTAAGAAGTGCAAATAACAATCTTTTGTTCAACCAGAAGTAATAAATACGTTATTTGGTTCATATTAAAGTTAGGTAGATGTGTTACCAGTCTTTATTTATATATCAAGGTTGAATAATAGACTGGAAAGTCTGATCGAGTTGTGACTCATATCAACACGATTCAGCAAATACTAAGTAGTAAGTATTGACAGTAATTTTATTTATCGTAGATGGGTGATGGTTTTATTTTATAATGAAAGTGTGCTGTTTAAATGAAATTTTCTCAAGTAATCAACTTGTTCAGCCAGATATAGGAGGCGGAATCGGTTTGTCAGTTTGTAGCCGGCCAGTTTTCTTTTCCACTTTTGATACAGAAACAGCTAGTGTATCAAACAGACTTGTTGACATGTCAGAGATCAATTGCTTTGATTCCGCTCAGTAGAGGCCACATTGTAAGACATAACTGACAATTTAATACTTGTTTTTTAAGCTGATCATACTTCTATGTACTCAGTCTCCCACCCAATCAAAATGGAAACCTCTTTTTTCAGCATCTTGAACTAAAAAGAAATGGTGTGCTCTCTTCCATTTCAGCATCAGGTACTCGTGTGCAAAAACTGATATATTTTGATGTGACTGGGACAAGTGCTTGTTTCCGCAGGTTCAATGGCACACACCAAATTGGCTGTACATGTGAGTATCCCTCTTATTCATCTCTTACTGCCCAAAAAGTTATTAAAAGGGGAGGTTATCAGTATCATAAAGACTTGGGTTTTGTTTTAACCAGTTTTATTTTATTTTAGTCTTCACTGAGTACCATCATTTATTTGGTTTCTTGGGTCATTTCAGTGGACTAGTACTTTGTTTTGATCAAATAGCTTGTACACTTAAAAAGAAAGAGCAGTGGCAACGTTGGATTAAATTAAAAATTTTTGGGCATTATTTTCTTTAAATGTTATGAAAAAGCAAAAAAAAAAAAAATGTGATTAAGATTAAAAACATATTTCAAAGTAGTATTTTTTTTGTCAAATTTTCTACAAAAACCTGTACCTGATTCCCTGTTAACCACCTAATTTCATCTCCAGCTGACCTGACAGGTAATGTGGGTGTGGTGCATTATATAGAAAACAAGTCTGACTTGGACTGGGTGCTGGAAGCAGGTCCTCACCAGCCATATGCTTTACTGATGGAGCCAGAGCATTTTAACAGGTAGGTACAGGTAACAAGGGCCGGGGTGGGGGTAAGGACATAGCAGTTCACCAGGGCCCCCATAACTCGAAAGCATCATGTATTGTGAATAGCGATATCACATAGAGGCTACTTTGTTTTATGTGGGGCGAGTTACAGAATTGAGACACTTGCGCTCTGTCCAATGCGCTATGCTTTTGAGTTACGGGACCCAGCTATATACGCGTAATAAGGACAGGGTGGGGGGAACAGCCAGAGCAGTTCACCAGTTATGTACTTTGGGAAACTAAGGTCTAAGAACTTGCTGATCTAAAGCAGGTATAGTGCAGGGTCATTAACAAAATTTTACGTCAATTACGTAAATATTTAGTGCCAGATATAATAAAGCATGCTTTTTATTCATACTTTAATGATTAAGACCAACTTTATTTCTCTGCAGGACCAATGTAATAGCTATCAAGCAATCTGGGAAGGTTAATGGAATTATGGTGATCAACAAAGAGAACTCCACGCTGCCTTCTAGTTTCCATTTCTCTCCTGATCAGTCGTGTCCCAATAATGTGAATGGTGAGAAACTTTCCTTTGATGGCATAGTGTGAATTAGAAACCTGGAATAAATTGGGAATTACAATGTACTTTCAAGACTGCCCTTTGCCTCCTTCTCACCTCACACATGATGTTTTTTCCCAATTATGAAGATAATGTACTTGGTTTCAAGAAAAATAATAATAATAATAATAAGATTCTTATATGGCGCCATACATTCTATCTCAAGGCGCCTTACAATAATGGCTAATATACTAAAATCATTAAAATGACTACAATATTTAAATCACAGGTCTGTATGACAAGCACAGCCAGTATGCAGACTGCAGTAATGTCACATGGAACACTGCTGGCAATGGCCTGATGTTCATGGACTTTGGCATGCCAATATTTTCTGTTCAGAATGAAACAGAAATAGACTACATAATACACAAGGTATTTTGTAATAATGATATATGATATCAAATATTTTTATTGTCAAAAAAGAAAGAGAAAGTTGGTTAGTAAAAGGCACACAAAGGACTTTGTACCTATATATATTTATATATTGCTCATTTTAAAATTTCGTGAAAATTTCAGCAGTTTTCCAGCTTTCCTCTATAACCAAACTATACTGGCTTATATGAGTGTTAATGTAATTACATTTTTTTTGCTGTTTTAAGTTCAAACATGCATGGCCTACCATAGAGGAGACCAATATTGTATTATGAATGATATCTGATGTTGGTGAAATTTTGAAGGAGGACAGTGTCTTTTATTCTCCATTTATTCATAATGCTCTACATCAGCTTTGAAGAACACTTTTTGAAAGACTGGGGAAAGTGTATATTTGGCCCATGACAGTTTGTATATTGTACTTTTATTTAAGCATATTTGGAGACCCAGTATTGGGATTTTAACAGAGTTCATCTTCTGAATATGATATTTGCTTTATTTAAAAAGTTTTTCTACGAGAGTGTCAGCTGATATGAATATCATATTTTTATTTCCAGTGTTTTGCTGCTTTCAACAAACCCATCAATGGCACTCCAAGGGAACACCCCCTGTGTGCTGCACAGCTGAAAGATTTCATGACAGGTGCCAAGGATTCACACACCTGCCTCAGTAGAACCAAGAGGATAATTAATATAAATCCTGGTAATTCTGAATACAACAATTTATTTCCAAATGCATATTAACCAGCACAGGCAGCTTGAATGCTGCATGGTTATTTGCTGGTAGGCCCTCATTTTTAGCTTAAGGAAGTGTTCATTTTGTTCCCAATAAATCTTAAGGAGGATGCTAATGTGATACAAATATGAAGTATTTAAGTGTAAGGCAACCTTTAATTTAATTATCTCCTCATTTTCTGTAAAATTTGGTTTATAAGATTCTAAGTAGGATGACATGAAATAAGTGTGCAGATACAAATACTCTGAAGTAATAAAAAGCTGACAAATGTGCAGATGGTGAGCAAGTTTGTTAGTTCAATTTGTAAATCTGGACATTTAATTTAAGTTATCCAACACGTTGCCTGGATGAACTCTAACCCATATTATATCCCAATGCATTTTCTTCACAAAAGGGTGATAGGCTTGTAAATATATTTCATGTTTTTTAAGAAAAAAGACTCTGGATCTTTTATTAATTGTAAGCCTTGTCAAAACAAAGGTAATCCACAGTTTTACGAAATAATTAAATAAATTTCTGTACCTTTCAGAAACCTACTGTGACCCGCTGGGAGACCAGAATGTGTATGGATTGCTGAAACCTGTGGCAAACAATGAATCTCTTCCCCAGAAGTCTATCATCATGGCAACTGCCAGGGTCAGTAATAGCCTACATTACTGTAATTGCATGTAGAAGTGAATAAAGCAAATATTTCTTAATTGTGCCAAATTAATGATATTTCTGATTATAAGGGTTAGATTTTTTTATTTTGAAAAGTCTTCCCATTCAGTTTGGTGGAAATGTGTCCATGATGTTTAGAAATTAAAACTGGGATTAACTTGGCTGTAAAAAGTCCACAAAATTTAAATGCACACTTAGGGGATCTGAACGGCAAGACGCAGCAAATTTACTTTAGTCAGACTTATTGATTGGGCTGTTGCTGTTTTTGCTTTTACTTAATAATATCTCTTCATAAAGGTGAGGGCACTAAAATTGATTACCTAGTGATTTTTTTTTTTACAGTTGGACTCATTTGGTTTGTTTGAAGCTCAGTATGCTGAGCTTGAAAGCCCAGTGGTCAGTTTTATTACCTTATTGGCTGCAGCAGAGGCTATTGGACGGGTCAAGCAGGACATAGTAGAAGATAAGAATGCAAAGGATATCATGTTCACTTTCTTCCAAGGGGTAAGATACAGGGGTGCACTACTACAGTCTGAGATAACTTTTTTGGTCGAATTGTGTAAATTTTCGTGTAATGATTTATTTTGTTAAACTCTTGAAATTCAAATAGAAAAATTATTCTTTTACCAAAGACAAAAACTTACTTTGTCATGAATTTAGGTGATAATATTTGATATTTGTGATATTTTTCTTATTTGTCTATGTAATTCATTTTGCCATTAGTATCAAAAATTCATTTAAAATCTTTACCTAACTATGAAATTAATTATATTTAGGAATCATTAGACTACATTGGCTCAGGACGTATGGTATATGACATAGAGACTAGTGTTTTCCCACAGAATAAAGACAAGTATGGCATTCATGTCATGAACTTTTCACACATTGCCCACTTTGTAGAGGTAGGCCAGGTGGGACTGGCAGAGGGAGGGGCTTACTATCTCCATAGCGACCCTGTCAGTCAGAGAGATGGACAGGTGGCAAAAGAGGTAGGTTTGGGGAATTAATAAGAATAGATCATTATCCTCAGTAATGCTGGCAGTTTTTTCAAATCAACAGCTAAAATTTAGAGACACTGAATTATTTAATATACTTTCTTATTTATTATGAATAAGGATACTACCTGATGTACTGCTGAATTTTGTCCTCCACTGTCTTAATTGTGTTACAGGTAACAAAACTTAAGTCTAACTTCCAAGAAGCTGTGGCCAGCATGAATAAAACCAACTTGACTATAGAGGGCACTGCAGTGCCCCAGCCACTGCCACCTGCATCTTTCCAGAGTTTCTTGAAGAAAGCTAACATCTCAGGAGTTGTTTTGGCTGATCATGAGAGGGAGTTTAAAAACAGGTCAGGACAGTTCAAGTTCTAGAGAGTGAATTGTTTCTCATTGAGATATCTACTAGATCTGTAAATTTTTCTTTTCGTGCACCTTGCCTCATAGGAAGAAATCATGCAACTGTAAAATTTAAACATTGTCGAACATGCACCAGGTTGGTAGTACTTATTCAGTAGAAAAAGACACCCTCCTTTATTGATTTTTTTACTTGGGTGGATAAATTAACTGGAAAAGAGTTAGATAGAACCAAACTGCAAATAGATTCAGTATATGATTACCAATAAGATTATGACTTATCATATGTTCAGAAACCTTAACCGTGTCATATTTTTCAGGTTTTACAACAGCCGTCTGGATACGTTAAAGGGTCAAGGTATGGACTGGCCATCTGACCGTCCAGAAAACTTCAACACCACTATTCAGCTGAGCAGAGATATTCAAATTCTGGCCACTGCCCTGGCTCGGTCACTTTACATCATGGCTACTAATAGTACACAGAATATCTCTAGGATTAATGCAGCATTAGACGAGGTATGAGTAAAAATATTTAACTTGATTAAAGATAATGTAATAGTTTAAAATGCACTTGCTGTAAAGATATTGCATGTTGTTGAAGTATGTATTGGCAAGTATTGGGTCAGATGTGTACGAGTTTCATCTTTTTCAAACATCCATATTGTACACCCTTGTTTCTCTCGGACATTCACTTTACTGTTCTAATCACAAATTCGGTAATTGCTGTTCAGGGGGAAGCCATACTTTTGACATTCAAATTTGATATTTTATGGAAACAAAGACAAAAACAATAAAAGTGAGCTTGCTTGACAAACTATTTTATTTATGTTTTCATCATATTCTTCCAGATAAATCATATGCTCTATTGCTTCTTAAAGAACCCCAAGTGTGCCCTATTCAAAAAGGTTCTGGAACCAAAATATGTTGAACAGCTTGGTGAGTGTTTCTGTTTATTCTTTTTATAGAGCACATGATATACGCATGACATAGATTTGACATGGGAACCTCTACCCTTTAGACTCAACCATCTTAGTAATATCCTGGGCAACCACTGCATTTACCCTCAAGTTGTCTTCTTACTAAAGTATGAAAGAAATTGTCATTCTTAACTTCTTAACTTATTTACATTATTTATATTTATTTATTTCATGTTTCAGCTGAAACCCCACAGCCATTCTATGTGGGAGTAAAGAGAGCCAACACACAGAACCAAGTCACACACTGGGTGCGGCAGTTGCTGGCCTACTATACAGGAGATAGACTAAATAGCAGTTATACCAGCAGTAACTGTTCTTCTAGCAGTAAGGTGAGAGGTAGACAGATCCCAACTAAATGTAATGTGGGTGGTGGCATTTCTTATTCACTTAAAGTAGCATTTTTGAAAGAGCAGGGGTAGAAAGAGAGAAAAAATTATACTTCTTAAAGGTCAATTTCTCAAAATATTTCAAGAACCTTCTGTGAAATGACAGTTTGTTTCAACAGCAATTAATAACAGGCATAGTAATTTTTCAAGGTCAAAATTAACTTCATGGGAAAGTGTACATTTTGATCCCTATAGAATAAGCCTTTTTTCCCCGAAGTACCACAAAACTCTCAAAACTCTCATAAATGGACACACTCGATATGCAGTATACAAATTACAGTTGTGTGTTATTTGTTTCTGATTGGTTTCAGCTTTATAATTACTACTGGATCAGCCATCCTCCAGATGGGATGTGTATTAGGACAACTGCAAATTTCTCAGAGGCAGAATCACCAGCATTTTTAGATGAAAGTGAGTCAGTGGTGCAAATGTAATCTCAGTCACCAGGGTGAAGTATCTGGTGCAAGCATTTGTCGCTTAATGTTTGTTAATTTTTGATTGAGAAGTATAAATATAGAATGTAAATGATACTCAGAAAAGTTAAACATAAATGAATTGCTTATACCGTAACAATGAAAGGTAAGCATGAAGCTGAAGGTAGTTGAGTTAAAATGTACATATTAAAAGATGAGCTATCATGAAACTGTTGAAACAGTGAATATACAGTATATTCTACAAGTCCAATGATTGTTTATCTGGTAACAGACGTTGTGCAACTAAAATAAAGTTTCTAAATTAATTACCGGACTTAGAATATAATCTAGTTGATGCCTATGAACATTGCCTACCTTGTATCATTCCATCACTCCCTAATTGCCCCAGATTATGCACAGGCTGCTGTGCCTATATGTATGTTATATTATTTCTTGTCATATACACATGGTCTCTGTCTCTCTGTTTCAGACTTTGACACCTATGACTGGTCATCTGGTCAGTATTCCACGTGGACAGAGAGTTCCTGGGCAGGGGATGCCATGCAGGTTAGGATATTCCTAACGCCAAGTCAGCACATGAGTGTAAGTATTAGCACAGTTCTCCTTTGCACACAGAGTTAATCAGCTATGATTTGCTTCCTATGATTTTCCCTCTTAAAACTTAGCTTATAGTGATAATAAACATTATAATATTGTGTTATATAGCTGAGATAAGCATGCTTTGCTAATTTTGGAAATGTGCATTTTTTCTTTGTATAGTATGCTTCTCCTACAAACATGAAGACAAGGCTTTTTACATATTGGGAGATAAAAACTCTTCTCCTCCTGATGCAGTTTGTAGATCTGCCACCTAGGGTTATCACACACAGTCTTGGCAATTGCCCTGATCTAAAAGGATTGGTCTCATAATTACCCATATTGTCCTGGTGGCAAGAAGTTAAAAATTCATCACATCCTTTCCCATGCCTTGCTAGTGCTCCCCAAGTGAAAAGATACATCCTGTCCTTAATTATGTCTTTCCATTCCTCAAATTAAAGGGTACTTCCCTAATCTGGCATATGCTGCTCAAGAGTTACACTTTATCCTTACCCATATCTTGCCATGGCTCACAAGAAAAAGCCAGATGCTTATATATATATATATATATATATATATATATATATGGCATATTTTATTGGCCCTGATTCAAACTGGCTGTACATTTTCCCACCTCCCTAATAGAGAGGATTCAGTCAAGCTGCCATTTGGGGCATACATCATCGAACAATATCTTTGGCTGCCAGACCAGGTAGTCTGACCACCTTGAATTAAGGGACACCCTGCTTCAACTTCAGTGCTGACTGCCAAGAGAGGAGCCAGCAGTTTCAGTTTATGAAAGACAAACCTACATCTCCCCCACTCTGGAAGTAAACAGTCTCAAAGTCCAGTTTGTATGAAGTATTAGGGGCACATCATTAGTCATGGCCTTCTGTAGTCCTAGTCACATACATTTGATCCTCATCCTTTTCATGCAACTGAAGATGGGAGTAATAATCCTGTCAGATTCTATATTTATGTCTTGACCATTGCCCCTTGAATTAAGGGGGGCACTATCACCATATCCCAACCTTGTCTTTGCCCCTCAAGCTAAAGGGTGTGCCTAATCCTGGTCCATGCTCTTCAAGTTAGTGAATTGTATGTTGACTGTCCTTTAGGGTATATGTAGCATTTACTGGGACAACAGCTGTCAAATTTACTTCTGAATTTTCAATACCAGTTGCCCTGTCTTGGATTTTGTGGATAGTTGCTATTTAGATATAGGTACCATAGAATCAACATAAATCATCATACTGTAAATCAAATTAGGTCTTGCCTCAAACAAACTTTGTGGAATGTAGTTTTTGTTGGTAGCCTAACCCCAATCTTTTTTTAGTGTCTCAAACCCATTTTCCCGTCTGGAGATGTTCAATTTATTTCTGTATTTGTCAATGACAGGTTTTGTCCATTTTGATTTCAGTGGATAACACTGGGTTCTGGACTTGGCTTGACTCTTGTTTCCATAGTAATAGCATTTAAATTGGACAGAAAGGCTTACCTGTTGTTCTCAGAACCAGTGGAGGGAATTTGATGTGATCATCTTCTAGATTTAGGCAGTATATTTACAATGTATCTACATTACACCTGCATGAAGTAATCTCCCTTAAACAAAAGTTGCATGGCATGAGTATGCTTCAGTTTATGCATGTTGCATGGGTTGTTCTGAATTGGTTGTTTTAATTGCAACCACAAGGTTCTTTTGTCGCCTTCATTTTTCCAGTTTGTCACGTCTACTTCAAACATTGCTAATACTTATGCACTATTCAACAAATTGAACCTTTATCTGTTTTATTAAATAACAATAAATAACAATAAATATAGAAATAAATAAATATAGAATGCATTCTTTCACTTTTAGGCTTGGTTTTGGTGGTATGTCTCTAAACTTGCTTGGTTTTATAAATTACTTCTACCAGGGTGCATTTCTACTTCTAATATGAATTGGATCATATAAGATTCACCTAATGATGTTGCTGATGATAAAAGACATTAATTTAGGGTATATATAAAAAAAATAAAGATTAGTAAATGATATATGAACAATTAAGAAATGTTGCAGTTTTGACTTTAGACATTTTTAGATGACAGAAATTCCTCTTTCTTGTATATGAAATATCTTTTGTGAAGTTAACATTGGCTAATTTTTTTAGATTTTTTATTGTATTTATTTTTGAAAAAAGTCCTGGAATTTGATTCCAAAATGTTGCTTTTTTCCAGAACCTGACGTTTGCCACAGGAGTGGCGCTGATGGTGGTAGCCATGATTGTCACATACTTCATAAATTCAAGAGCTGACTTCCTGTTCACAAAGCCAGATTCCTTCTAAATCTCCTGTATGCATCTTCACTGGGAATAAAACCAGTTGTTCATTCACCAAGGTTACCACCATCTGTGCTCAAAAATTAATCCTCTTCTCGGAAACTTTCAAGACTGAAGAGAATTGGAGAGCAAGCCATCCATAGTGAAAAGAATTTTTTCACATCTTTCATGTATTGTATGACACGTTTTATAGACTATTCAGTTAAATTATCATTAAAAATGATAAATGACAAGAAGTTGTGTATCTACTGTGATGTAATAGACAAGTCACCAATGCACATTCAAAAGCTTTTTTTATTTACTTATTTACATATTTATCTTTAATGTAGCTTGCTCTTCAGTATTTTTGAATAGCTAAAAAAATTAGTGAGATTTTGAGAGATACTTGTTACTTTGGAGGCAGATGAAACCATTTGCATTACTTTCTTAATAATAAAAGTTAAGACTGGCAATAGTAAACCCCACATAAAGGACTGACCAGTGCATGTTGAGTATGGTATATTGGATATATGCCCTTTTTACAGAGTTGTTCTTTACATATAGTTGATCGGAACAGCCACTGGAAAGCTGATGGATTAAAATGGCAAAACTTTTACCACTTTTGATAGTCAGAAAGTTTTCATTTATGTTAGATCCACATATTTGATTTACCTGTTGACTGTTTCATCTGTTCACTCAGATAGACTTGGTCACAATAGAATTACCTGTTCAGGTGAAGGTGAACAGGTAATTACCTCAGTCTTGATGATTTTTTTCAAATATCAAAACTGAGATCCAGTGAAACCGTTTTCTCATTTGACCACTTTTGTGCTGAACAGGTTGTGTAAAATCATAGAACT